AGTAGGATAGCGGTAGGAACAGGAGGAGGAGTAGCAGCAGCCACCATAGCCATAGTCCAAAGTAATGTGGCAGTAGTAGTCGTTGCAGTACTAGTACTAGTAGCAGTCTCGTCGCCTGACATAGTCGGAGCGTCAGTGCCAGAAGAAGTAGCAGGGTGAAAACGACAGCAGCGTCAGCAGCAGAAACAGCAGCAGCGGCAGCAACAACTACCTGGCAGCAACCAGCGTGACCCTGGCAGTGGTGGCATTGGTGGTCCTATTAACAGGAGCACTAGAGGCAGCAATAGTTGCAACCGAAAAACCAAAGTTAAGAATAAGGCATTTAAACTCACAATCATTACTGCTATACGCTTGGCCCACCAGCAACGCAACTGATCCCTTGAGTTGGTGACAAACGACGATTTTGTGCGAGCAGTAAATCCTTCACACACCTCCGCATTGAACTAGCCAGGAGGAAAAACACTGTCTTTTAACCTGCATTGAAGCCTTAAATCCAAGCGGCGCAAGAGAGGCAAAAACGCCCGGTGGCGTTGCGAAGTGGGAGGTATAGGCCTTGCTTGGGCGTTACGATCTTGGGAAAACTTGGAACGGGGGGATAGTCGCAAAGAAGAGTTGGAGTGTCTCGACAGCGCTGCAGGAGAGAACCACAGTGCTCGAAAGCGTATGGCTCCAAGTCTCCAATCCACTCGGGTCCGCCATTTGAAGGTACGGGGGTCTCACATCATAGGCGTGCGTAACAGGCTAATGAGGCTAATGCTTGAATGGATAGGGAGTTTAAATTCTGGTATATGTTGGCCTGCTGCATTGTTCTTAGTGCATGCTATTCGTTGAGCGCGAGCAAATTCTCCGTGCTTGTGAACATACTTTGCAAAAATCTAGTCGAGCAGGGAGGTTGAAGACTTCGCCGACAGACTCAGCTGCCTCCGAACGCTCGTTTAACTGGAAGTGATGTCCAGTCGTACGACATGCCTTCCCTGCATTCCATCCCACAAGACGCTAACCTCGTGTGATGTCGAAACATCTGAAGAGAACTTCATCCTTCTTGGCATGCAATTCGTTCCAATGCTACTTCCGGAAGTATTCACTCACATGCTCCCCGGTGTCCTTCACGAAGTCCCGCCGCCCGTGGATCGTCGTGTTTAGTGCCGTGGCGTTGGGTTGAACTCCTTTGCGCTGCAGATGCGGAGTTGCAGATGCTCTGACATGTAACGAATATCTGCTTGTAAGTCGGGATGGACTGGTCAATGATCAGGTAGAGCAGGAGCACCCTTGGACTGTGTGCTGCGGGACCTTTCAGGCACTTCGTAGCCATCAGGCAGCTGTTGCAGCGAGTTGCCCAGACGAAAGTATACAACAATACAATTAGAAGCCAGCTGTTCAAGCAAAGTCTCTGAGGTAGCCAACGAGCCAAGCTGCGTCGGATCCTCAAAAGCAGATGCAGAAGGAGCACCCCTGAACTTGCCTGAAGTTCCAAGCATGGTTTCAGACAACTGTCTGGACCTGTTTCGGGGCATCTGAGACCGCTGTGCCATGGCACTGCAAATCAAACATGTGTGCATAGATAAGACCATGTATACGTATATGTAGACCTGTATCCAGAGTGAGACATACGCACATGTGGATATCACAGGCCCGGACATAAAACTAGGAACCTGCAAGGCCCAAAAAATCCGAAGGTCGTAGCACGCACACGTCGTTTGCAGGCCAGGCGCGGCCCTAAACGCGATGTAAACCGCCAAAGCTCCAACTCCAAAATCCTACAAAAGATCGCAAGGAAACTCCCACAGGCCTGTAAACCCTCAAGATCTCTGCGCCCCTAAACCCTACACCCTGTAAAAACTGAACCTGGCATTTCTGAGGACCTGGCCCAGGAGCTGCATTACTTCGTCGAGATGACAGGAAGCCAGGAGGATGGCCTCTCTTTCGGTTTATCAAAGTTTAGGGTTTAGGGTTGAGGGCTCCATGTTTGCCTCCTGCATTGCTGAGGGAGTCAAGGGTAGGACTTGTAGAGCTTTTGGGGGGGTTTAGGGGTTAGGGAGAGATAGGGGCTTCACCAGGACGCTAAGTGGATCTGCAGGGTCGTATAAAGATTCATGGGGGCTTATATTATACGGAGTTGACAAAGCTTCATGCGGTCAGACAGGGTTTCCAAGAAAACTAGGTCCCTCTCGTTGATGGATGACCTAGTATTTTAGGTCTGCTGGTGCCCCCTATTTTCGGAACTCCCCTCTGGGCTTTTAGACGGGCTTCTGACAAGGTTGTGCCATCCCTTGGTGCTGTTATCGGCATGCCCCCCCACCCCCCCCCCCGTGTGCAGCTTAAACCGGGTCTATTTAGCAGCTGGAACCGTGGGTATTGAACAATACACCACGACCAGCTGCTAAATAGACCCGGTTCTGGTTTTGCTATGTGTGCACGGCCGGAATTAAATAATTTAAATATTGGGAGGGATCCCGGATTTAAA